CTCTCAACTTTCAGGAACTTTTTCGTGCCTCCAAGGCCTTGGTCTACTCTCACCACTTTGTTTTTTGGACACTTTTCTTTATTTCTAGCACACTAAGATGCTCTAGACTCGCCAAGTGTTTTCCTTGCCTTCATCCCAAAAGCAGAATTTCTGTAAGAAGATACATTGCTTTCATTGGAGAATGCTTGGAGGAACTAGTGGTCTGAGTAGTGTGCCCGTTAGGCTGTCATTGTCTCCATGCCCTTTGAGTGATCTGGATTAGAAAACCCATGTTTGGGGCCGGATCAATAGATAGTACAGCAGGTAGGGTGCTTGCCTTTCATGGTCTGACCTGGGTGAGTCCCCAGCATAACATATGGTTCCCCAAGCCCTGCCAGGTGTGATCTCTGAGTACAGAGCCAGGAGTAAGCTCTGAGAACCCATGGGTGTGGCCAAGAAACAAAAAAAGAAACAAATTTAAAAAATATGTATGAATATTGAACCATATGCCTGCATTTTCTGTCTGTTCTATCCTATGTCTAAAATGAGTTCACTCTGATGTTCAAATCCAGTGTTTCCTGTCTAGTTCTTGTTCTCCTACTTTGGTTATCTATAATCTTTCCAGTGTGAGAACCTGGGCTGTAGCAACCACTATCTTTTGTTCTCTCTCTCTATCTCGGTGTACGTATAGTATTTTTAGTGGTATTTACTCTGCTTTTAAAGAAATTATTTTTACAAAGTTGTTCACAGTAATTTATTACAGTCAAGATTTCAATACCAACCCCACCACTATTATACCTTCCCATCACCAGATTTCAGATTTTTCCACCCTGACCCCCAAAGCCTGCCCCCAAAACAGGACCTATATAATTTGTTTTGTAATGCTTGTCATGAATAATCTACTAAAAATGATTCAAAAAAGTTTCCTTAGAGGAAAGTGCATGAAGATTGTTGTATCTTACCCTGGAGCCATTAAACCCTTGTATAAGAAATTACTAACATATTGTTAAAGATTGAGCCTTGTGTGCTAATATATACATATAATATAGATATGGATGGATATTATATATACATATATGTGTATATTGAGATTGGTTGCCTAGTACATTACACGTGCTACTCTTGGTACATCCAGTGATAGTGATGTATGAGATGTTGCTCCAGGAACTCTAAAATTTTAAGTAGGGTGAGACAGCTGGAGTTAATTTTTTAACTGGATGGTCACTTTCGGGTCTTGGCAATGTGTTGCTTTGCTTTCTTTCAAGATTTATTTGTGAGTCTTTGGATCATGACCATTAATGAGCTTATATGTCACCAGAGGCACTTCGTGGGTGTAACTGTCAGGCTTCTGGAAGAACAGGGAGGTGGGGGAGAGGTCACCCATTCCCAACATCGTGGAGATTTTGGTCACAAAACACGCATACACGGTTTACTCTGCTTCTTTTCCATTCCTTTCCACTGGCCATCAAGTGACCTCAAGAAGAGGGGGATTTGACCCCACCCCATGTTGACTTGGATTAGCAAGCAAGTCAAATCTCTCTTAGACAGCTCAAGGCACGGAGAGCCACCTAGCTTCCTTAGGCATCATTATCCTATCTCATCTGCAATCGTGATAGCATCAGTTCCCTCTGACCTAGTTGTCTGGTCCAGTGCCCAGAAATTGTATGCTGAGCCCTAAAAATGACAGCACAATCCTAAATCATTATTTTAGTGAAGAGAATGTAGGATATAGTTCAGTCTTTCCTAAGCACTGCTGTAATGTTTCTCTGCCAGATGTTCTGTGGCCTTTAAAGGAGAAAGGAAAAAATTACAGCGAAGCAATGAATCTATAACAGAAATTTAAAATATATAGTGATAATACTATGTAAGCATTATAGCTGTAAAGGTACAAGGAAAAATGCCTAGAAACAACACACGCACAGAAACTAAAAAAATACAAAGATAAAATATAAAGCAATTTTAAAAGAACGTATGATATTGTTGCTGGAGAAATAGTGAACCCAGGGAGGCCACATGCAAGGCAAGCACCATATCCACTGTACTATTTTCTGAGTCCCTAGAAACCATCTTTTGGTGAACCAGGTTTTTATGTTTACTTCTTTTCTGTTCTTTGTGTTTGAATGTCATATGCATTTGAGTTTATTCTTTGATACAATACATCTCTCTCCATGACATTTCTTTAAATCACTCTGCATACCTATCAGCAATACAGCAGAGTATATCAAATCATTTTTACTTCATATGATTTTCTCTTACTATTTTTGTTGTTATTACTGGGCTTCAGAAATATATTCTCACTGGCTTTCATATATTTATTTCATATATTTAAGGCTGGAGTGATAGTACAGCGGATAGGGCGTTTGCCTTGCACTCACCCGAGTTCGATTCCTCTGCCCCTCTCGAAGAGCCCGACAAGGTACCGAGAGTATTTCGCCCGCACGGCAAAGCCTGGCAAGCTCTCCCTGACGTATTCGATATATTCGATATGCCAAACACAGTAACAAGTCTCAAAATGTTACTGGGCCCGCTCAAGTAAATCAATGAATAACGGGAGGATAGTGACAGTGATATATTTAAAGGAAAGTTGAGACCAGCTTTTCTACCCCCTCTTTTTTTTTTCTTTTCACAGAATGGTAATCAATTTCTGTGAATGAATCAGCACCTGGAGGCTTTAAAGTTCATTTCTAGACTTCTGCCTATGAGTTTTGTGAGATTGTTCAACCGTATTGAGGCCTTTTGTTCTCTCTCTCTCTCTCTCTCTCTCTCTCTCTCTCTCTCTCTCTCGTGTGTGTGTGTGTGTGTGTGTGTGTGTGTGTGTGTGTAGGGCGGATTGGGAGCCCCTTGTTTCTGTTGGACAGAGTGAGATTTTCAGATTCTCAATGTGGTCTTCACTAACTCCACACTGGGTGGTGGCAAGACACCTTCTCACTACTGGATGACGCTGCCCAAATGTTGATGGGAACAAGGCAGGAGAGATGCCTTGTAATTGCTGGGCAGGAAGGGAAGTTCACAATTCCATCCTGCAGGGTCTCCCTGGCACAGAAGCTGTCTTCTTTACAGCTGCCAGGCCTGAGAGTCTTGTCTTCATGGTCATCTCTGGCCCCACCCTGGCAGCGTTGGGGGGCGGGGGGGAACGTGCTGTAGCCCACTGGGGGTTTCCCTCAGCCTCCATGGCACAGAGAGTCAATTTTGTCTGTGGCATTTGGCCAGCCTGGAGCAATGGATTGTCTACAAGTGTTGTGTCCGGTGTGGCTCTCCCTTTCCTGCTCCTGTGACTGCAGGAAGTGGGCCTTTGTTGATGCTTGTTTGGTCTATGCTCATTGGTATTTCCAGGTTGCTGGCTTTCCCAGCTCAGAGTCTGGTATACACACACCAGGACTCTTACCTCTACCTTGTTTTCGGGGCCCTGTGGCCCCAGGTCGATCTGCTTTCCTTTTTATCTCTGTTTTTTTTTTAAGTGAAGCAAAGTAATTTTACTTAAAGACATTTAGTCAGAGAAATGTGAGAGGAGAGAAAGAAAAAGATAGCTAGTCAAAAGAGAACATGGACTTCTCCAGAGTGGAAAAAGCCTTCTAGCAGAGTCTTTTGATGTTTGCTTTTTGTATGACATTCAGGGTGTTTCAGAGGAATAGTAAGAAAGTAAGGGTGCTTGAAATTTGTGGGAGCAGAGGCCCTTGCCACTTGATTTTTGCTGTACTTGTTTCCATTTTCTCCTATATTTTGTTAGGAACTTTTGAAAAGGAAAGAGTGGTGGAGTGACTACCCTCCATCTCAATTCAATATCTTAAAAATTTGCTGCAGTTTAATTTATTGTGTATATTTGTTCATATGGTCATTTCATCTGTCTTTAAATTTATTGTGTATATTTGTTCATATGGTCATTTCATCTGTCTTTCCACTTGTCTTTTGATGGGTGTACGTATATTTCAGCATGTGTATCATTAAGTGGACCTCAATTTTGTTAAGATTTTCAGATTCTCACGTGGTCTTCACTAACTCCACACTGGGTGGTGGCAAATTGTGTATAATTTGAGGACAAATTATACACAAAGTGAAATGCAGACAATCATGCCATTTGATGAGATATTTTGTATTTTTCCCTTTTTTGTCATATGTTAGTTTGACCGTTTTTAGTACTTCATGTAAGTAGAACTTCACAGTATGTACACCCATTGTTTAGCACTGTTCTGCAAAGTTTTGGGGATGCATTAATATCGTTGTATATTTTTGGTGTCTGCTGTCTGCCTCTGGCTGAGTGCTCTTCATTGGCATGACAATAACATAGTTTATCTATTCTGGGCTGCTTCCAGCATTTTGCCATTAAAATTTGATAGTTGGCACAATGTAAGTCATAGCTGTGTTCTGTGTAGAATATAGCACAAATGGAACTTAAAGTTTGGGTCCTTTATTCTAATCAATAAAATGATTAAGGCCCATAAAGATACATTTTGTCATAGATCTACATTTTCTTGTTCCTGATCAGTTGATTTGCAACTGAGAACTTTTTTTTGGTAATAAAAACAAAAAGATAGAAGTTTTAGTGTTGTAAAAATGCGAATTTAGCTTCTTGGCAGTAAATTTTATTTTGTGAAGGAAAAACCATGGTTTTAACTACATCATAACTGTAATATTTATTACTAAGAATGCCAAAGTAGCCTCTGGAGGAACATCCTATTTCAAGAAAACTTAGAATACTTTATTCCTGTGCAAAATATTGATGTAGTTTCTGCAGATGGATTCAGCTGAGTCTGGCAGGCCCTTACTTTTCTGGCCTTACCTATTATGTAAGTCCCTTGCTTCTTTTCTGTTTCCCAAAAATCATTACCTAAGGGGACTATAATTTCTGATTGATTGATTCCCTGATAGATATCAGGGGAGTACTCTGGCTGGAAACGGGGCATGATAAACTGTATGTGAAATTCCAATTAGAGCGGTATGCTTTTTAGCAGTGTGGGAAGAGAGAGATAATGTGAATTCAAACTTCTTGTAACTTTTTTCTGATTTTATTTTTCTTTCCACAGTTGATGGACTGGACAAAGCTTCTATAGCAAACTCGGATGGCCCAACAGCAGGCTCCCAGACACCTCCCTTCAAGAGAAAGGGGAAACTATCTTCCATTGGTAAAATCTTTAAGCCTTGGAAATGGAGGAAAAAGAAGACCAGTGACAAATTTAGAGAAACTTCCGCAGGTATGAATAGCATCACGTGGGTAGAAGCGATCGATGGTGAAAACTTTTGAAGGGGCAAGAAATTGTGTCTTGCAAGTATCTGTGACTTGAAATTATTTCATTTGAGAATGAAACAACTTGGGGTGCTGATGTGCTTTCTTTTTGTAGCTCTTCTAGATTCTGGTATATTTTTGGACACTCACATAAAACTCGGTGTGTAGGGAAAACGAGGATATGCCTCAAGAGCATGTGCCCTGCATGTGCTGGATTCACGAGGACCTGGATTCGATTCCTGGCACTACCTGGGGTCAATTCCCCTGATCACTGCCAGTGTGGTCCCACACAATTAAATATAAATAGCAATGCGAGCTACTGGCTAAGCAGGGATAAGTAAAATCATGGAAAAACGGGTAAAAATGCTAATCAAAACCCGGTTCCAAGTACTGGCCTATTACCATTCGCACACACCACAATGCATCCACTCTACTACCTTTTTATCCACTTAGATTAAGTAACACAATCCTATTAGTTAATTTTTAAAAATCACTTTCTTTTTGCTTTATTTGTTTGACATGATTCAAGTGGCTGAAGGAAAAGTACTTGGACACATTTACAGTTTTTAATTTCTTCAGATAATTCACTTAAGAATTTTTTTCCCAGGAAGGCACTTGGTTTACAAAGTTGTTAGCAATAGAGCTTTTGGCATCCGGTGTTCCAACACCTGTCTCACCATCAGTGTCACCTTCCCTCCACTAAGATCCCATGCTCTCTGCTGATCCCCAGCCTTTCTTCTTGACAGGCACCTTTGAACATTTGGGTGTTACAGCTTTGGTTTCCTCTCTAGCGTTGTTGGCTTTATGGCTTAAATATATGCACATACGTCACCTCTACTCCATTGATGCACGCACCCATGAGGCCCTTATCCCTACCCTCTGACCTTGGACCTCAATTTCTTTCCTTCTCTATCCTTCTCATTTCTAGAATCTAGGCTCAAGGATAATGTACGTACTGCCCCTTTGATACCTCGCATTCCCTCATCTTGTAATCTAGATACACCACAGATGAGTGAAATTATCCAGTGTTTGTCCTTCTTCTGATTTACTTCACTTAACTTGATATGATATCCATTATTTCCATTCAAGTTGCAGCAAATTGCATGATTTTTTTTAATCATTCCTTGAAGCGGCATAGTCTTCTGTTGTGTATTCTTTATCATTCTTTATGCATTCTTTATCCACGTCTTTATCCATCTTTATACATTCTTTAACCATCAGTTGTTGGATGCCTGGATCGATTCTATGTGGTAGTTATTGTACCTGTGCCATAAGAACGTTTTACTCTTTCTGGGTGGGGGAGGGTGTGCACATGCCCACAAATTCTCAGGGTTTATTACTGGCTTTATGCTCAAGGATCACTCTTGGAGGTGCTCAGAGACGATATAGAGAGCGTGAGGGTCTTCGAAGCCCACCAGTAGTGATTCCTGAGCACAGAGCCAGGAGTAATCCCTGAGCTTAGCCAGGCATGGCCCCAAACACAAACAAACAAAGCTAGGAACTTGAATGGGCTGAATTCTAAGGTGCTTTCAGTTCCATGTTCTGTTGTCAGACTTATCTCCTTCCAGCCCCCAGCTGGACATCTTGTTCTCCCTTGTTCTGTTGTGAGTTGGACTTCCTGCAAACCTCTTTCCTACAGTTCCTTTAGCATTAGGAGACTTGGGCTTTTCTGGTTACTATGGATGGCCAAGATGGGGCAGGACTTTGGACAGTGACATGAATCTAGCAGTGAGAAGAAGGGATGGAAGTTGCTGTGGTTCTGTCTGCCCGAATGTGGCCTGTCAACTTCTTCCCCAAAACAAAACACACAGAGACAAAGAATTTCTCCTTCCTCCTCATCACTTACTTTTTAATAACTTAAATCACAGCAAGGCTGTGATATTATCTACTAGCCCAGAATATTTAAGGAAAGTCATTTGGCATAGTTTTAACTGTTACCTTAGGTGATCTCCTGTTAAGAAGGAGAAACTATTTTTTCCTTATATTCTGAGTTTCATTTTTCAAAATTGCAGTGTTTTCTGTAAATTTAGCTCTATTAAGTTTTTTTGTGGGGGCTGTGTATATCTCTAGTTCATACAGACTTCCAACCTACAATGTGAACCCAAAAATACTATCAAATACCTCGCTTTGTTTTGCCTCAAAATTGTTCATGTAGAATAAAAACAAGCCAAGATGATAACTGCATGATTTAATTCTTTGTGCATGTGTCTGCTGTATGTACTGCATGATTTATTTTAAACCCCACTTATTATAGATGTTTTACGTGAATTTCAAGAGAGGTTATGAATATCCTGTGAGGTTAAACATTGGGGTTAAAGATGTAGGGGAAGTTTTTTTGTCATATGTTCTTTATCATCTTGCCTAGATGTTTATATTGAGTCTTCAGGTTTGGCTGAGCTTTGTGGAATGTATTGGTCAAGTCTTAAACCAGGAGGCTCAGATGGTGGCTCATATGTCTTTTTCACATTGTGGAAAGATGTCACACTTGGATGAAAAACCAATGTACTTGGAAATAACCAAGAGAAAGGTGTTTTCTCCTTTAATAAATTATCGCAAACTGTGAAATCTAACTGTTTGGCTAGGATCAAGGTCTCATGTACTGTCTGGCAAATTATAAAGTGCACCTGAAGCGAGAGCCACACTATCTTGGGATATGAAAGAAGGTGCATTTCTTCCAAGAAACGTCATGTTTTTCCTTTTCTTTAGCTCCTGGATTATATACACATGGACATGAATCTTTCTGTGTTCCACTTGCTTGATGATTAATACCTCGAGTGCTCCATCTACATTTCTATTCTAAGAATTCAGAATTAGTAGGAGACAAGGTCTCTGCTGATTTGTGGGTGCCTCTGTGCTCACAGATGTCCTCTAATGGTGGGGATTGAGAAGGGTCACGCCACGAGTTGTTCTGACGCCCTGGGAGGGGTGCCTTCTGTTCATCCAGGCAGGTTGTACCCATGCCTCCCTTCAGATTCATTGGCCTCTTCGAAAGTAGAAAACTATCCATATCTTCGACTCTGCTTGAGAATGGTTGGTAGCTTGTTAAGTTTCAGGATTCTTTTTTTTTTAACCCCCCCCTCCCTTAATATCTTCTTTTTTTTTTTTCATTTTGGGTCACACCCGGCAATGCTCAGGGGTTACTCCTGGCTGTGCACTCAGGAATCACTCCTGGCGGTGCTCGGGGGACCATATGGGATGCTGGGAATCAAACCCGGGTTGGCTGCATGCAAGGCAAACACCATAACTGCTGTGCTATTGCTCCAGCCCCAGATATATTCTCTTCTTCACTTTTCTCTTAAAAGAGAGAACCCTTCTTTGTTCCTATTTAAGCCCTTGGTTCTCTCCCTTCCCTATCTCAGAAACTAAAAATATCCTTTGCACTTTTTCCCCCTACATAGTTATTTCTTCCTGTGTTTGGGGAGGGGGCGTGGCAAAATGGTGGAGAGGAGAAAACTGAGAACATTGACTCTGGATTTTCTAAGATGCTTTCACCGCCTCAAAACCCAGCTTTCGGATACATGCCTTCTGACTACATACAGTTCTTCTGAAAACCAAATACGAGCACTTAAGCTCCTACACTCCTTTACCTTTGAGAGCAAGTATGTTGAAAATCCAGCCTTCTGTTTCCTGCTTTCTACTTGCTGCTTCTATTTTCATTCCACTCCAAGAGTCACTTCAGTCTCTTTGTCCTCAAATTGAGTGTCACTCCTGTTTTCATCCATTTCAACCTCAGTGACATTTGCCATGACTGATATGTCTTTCCTTAATTTGAAAAAATGGCTCTTTCTTGCTTTAAAATAAAAAGGCTGCTTACTTGGTTATCTTTGACCTCTTTTTCTCTCTTTTCCTGTCTATCCCCTTTCTTGCTCCCACTAAACCTTGAGGAAAGTTTGCTGCATGTCTTAGCCATCCTTTTTCTTTGAAAATGCCCTTTCCTGGCACTGCCTCTCCCCAATAACCACACCTCTTGCACTGGCCAGCAGAAACCAGGCAGGTCTTTCTCAGTTCTGATGGGCACTGCTGCTGGGGATTGATCTTAATTCAAAGTGCAATTGTATGATGGACTGATACAGACATCGACATAGTGACGCATCGCCAACACTGATCTCTGAGCTGAGTATTTGGCATGAAATAAGAGAATTTCATTCTCATGGATCTTTCTCATCCTCGAGTCTATTTGTTGATAATTGCTATGAATGAGCACAGAAAGTGAGAGAAGAGGATTTTGGAAAATCCCTTGTACAAGTAACATCCAAACACAAACGGCCTTTGCTCAGCCCTATCCTTCTATTGCAGATTTGGCTTTCTTTGACATCCTGACTTTGAAACCTGGACTTCTTGGTCTCTTCCTTACCTCTTAGCATCTGTATTCCTTCGGTTTGCAAAATCTCGGGTTTATTTTCATCCAACTATAGGGTCCCTAGCATCAGCCTTTCTTCCCAGGTCCATTTGAAGATCACCGTTACTCAGGGTCTCCATTATGGCAGTCTTGGATCCTTGTTATACTTACGTGTCAACTGTCCTAACTACAGAAAGCTAGAGAATGCTCCAGAAGGTAGGAGGAGGCAGTCCACAAGCCTTCCTTGTGGAGGGGTTGGTGGATCTAACTGGTGAGACTGACAGAAGGTTCAGGATGGCATGAGCCATCAGAAACCCCAACATAGCCAAGAAAACAACTTTACAAGTCTCCGACAAGGCATCTAGATCAATGGGTCCTTCATACCAAGATCTCTGTTTCTTGGTGTCAGTGTCAAATAGCAGAGCGACCATGTGAGTGAAGCTGGGAAATTCAGACTGACCTTTCTGATCGCTGTTTTCCTCATGTAGGTAATAGTGGTCATGGACAGGTAATTCCTAGTGCTACAGGAACAGAAAGGATCACACTCAATTACAAGCATGTACTTGTGTCTGCCTCTTTTGTCAAGAGACCAGGGAATTGAGTTGATAACTAGGACAGGAAATTATCAA